GGGCTCTCGTGGCCTAGAGGTTAAGGTGTTGACCTCTCATTCAAAGCCCCCGGTAACGACCGAAAACATTTTCTTCTCTGAAATTGTCTCCTTTCACCTCCTTCCTTGCTCTCTAGAAGTGTTCTATCGTCTGTTTTCGTCTCCTCTTTCTGCCCCACCCCCTCACGCCCTTTGCCCCTCCTCTGGGCTCCTGACTCTTTCTGCAACCTTTCCACTGCTACTTCTTGGCTCCTTCTTACTGCTGTCTTTCAGCCACACCCCTGTTTTTCTGGTTAGAAAGATCTGCACCTAGCCTTCTCGGACAAGAGCGAAAAATCTTGGAGGGCCCGTGTGCAAGTTGCGCACGTTTAAGATTCCTTGGTGGTCTAAAACCGATAAGAGTAGGCTTCGGCCGCCACCTGGGGAAAATTCAAAATTTCCTATTAACTGAAAAAGTTTAATGTGTACTGCGCGCTCATTTATGACCTTATGAAGTTGCGAGAGCCGCAAAAACTTTACCAAAAAAAGCAAACAAAAAACCCCCAAACAAAACAAAAAACAAAACTCAAGTCTGCGTACTCAACGTCGAAGCGCCTAATCACTGTACAAAAGACATTGGTTAGACGGTGCTTTTGGGAAAGAAAAAAGATCTGTTTGAGGAATAGACTGTTTACGATAATAAAAAGAATGTTTCAATAGCGTGTATATTACCAGTGAAAACTCGGTGTCTAGCTCAGAAAAAAAATTTAAAACACCGAAGAAAAGAAATCGGAAACAGGTGGGAAATGGAAATCCTTTTTTGCTGTTGTGAAAAACAATTAGTTAAGTTAAAACTGTACTCCATTTCCCATCACCGAAGAGACAGGAATGCCCTTGAAAAGGTTGATTATTTGGGACAGAACACAGGACTGACAATCGAAAAATCTTTTTTCGAGTGCATAGTGTTTTTTTGTTGTAGTTTTTTTATTTATTTGATTAGTGTTTTACGGTGCTCGCAACTTCATAAGGTCATATGAGCGCGTGGGATAGACTAAACATTTTCAGTTGGTAGGAAATTTGGAATTTTGCCCGGGTGGCGGCCGAAGCCTACAGTTATCGATTTTGAACCACCAATGGATCTTAAACGTGCGCTACGCGCACATGGAACCTTTTTGCTGTTGAACGCAGAAGACAAAGGTTCGATTCCCTCGTGGGGTAGCTATTTTTATCGAAATACTCAGCCCGTCAGTTTGGATGCTGTATCCGACACAGCCCGGGTTGTCCTGACGGGCAGAGTTGAAGCAAGATGTTTCCCAGATAATCAAAATTTTTGTTGATACAGACCTTACTATTTCGACTGCTCATATTAAACGACGAATAGGTCACTTTTCGAAATGGCATTATATAGCGTAGTCTTATAAGGGGTGCCCACTACGGCTGGATCCGGCCGATCGCCTGACTCAGTCGCCTAAAACTGAAAACAAACACGGTCGATCAAATCCGTAGTGGGCTCCCGTATTACACAAAACAGTCCATTTACAGTCTATCAATATAGTAAAGTGGATAGCGACAACTGTCATAATTTTACACCTTTATTTGTATTGTTTTGTTGTCATTTTTTTTTTCATTTTCTTTCCCAGCCATGATACCTCTGTGGATGTTTACCCTTGGTCAGCGATTCAACGACGACAAGATTTCTGTGAACGTCCCATTCCTGAAAATCCTACAGACGTTGGCGCTGATTTTGATTCCCATTTTCTTCGGTTTTTTCCTGAATCTGAAGTTCCCAAAGGTGGCGGCAAAAGTTAAGAAACTTATCACACCTGTCGCTATAGTAACGGTTGTTTTCATATTGACTGTTGGGATCTATTCTAATCTCTACATGTTCAGACTATTCCGAGGGGGTACAGTGGCAGCTGCCTGTCTGCTACCTTACGCAGGGTACATTCTTGGCGGGGTTTTAGCTTTGATTTCCTGCCAAACGTGGAGCCGCGTCAAGACAGTATCCATAGAGACGGGAATACAGAACACGAGCGTGGCGTATTTGATGCTGACATTTTCTCTTCCGGCGCCTGACAGCGATTTGGCGGCCGTGGGATCTGCTTCTTCCGCTTTTATGACGCCACTTCCGCTTCTAGTTGTTAGTGTTGTGTATATCTTGTACAACAAGTGGAAGCGAAAACACGCCAACGATCAGGCTGGCGGGGGAAGTGAGGGTGACGACGATGATGAAGCCAGTAGTCCCATGACTGAAATGCTGAGCTCCAAGGAGGACAAACAGGGGAAGGAAGCAGGAAAGTTAGGAAATCGAATCTGAAAAACCTGAAGCTAAGCATTTTTATTTCGCCTTTAAACAAAGTGCACATCACCCCCCCCCCCCCCCCCCAGCCTTCATTTCCCCCAAGGTCAGACACACAAACACATACGCTCTCTCTCTCTCTCTCTCTCTCTCTCTCTCTCTCTCTCTCTCTCTCTCTCTCTCTCTCTCTCTCTCTGTTTGTGTGTGTCTCTCTCTCCCCCTGTTTCTCCTCCCCTCCTCCCC